TTATAACAAGCGTCAAAATGTGGGACACCATGGGAGCTTTCTGATTGGATGCTAATGTAAGTAAAGCCCAGTTAATGCTCTGTTTTCCTTGTGTTAAAAATTCCCATTCACATAATGTCAGTATGGCACCCCAGGCTGTACAATTTTGCTTATTGAGCTCCATAAGTGACTGTCATATAGCCTTCCTCTTATATCTTACAATTACATAGCTATAGGCAGAGCTTGTTGTGCCACCTGTAGTTAAGGCCCATACAAACTTAATTTGTCCCCGTGTGCATCTCATATAATCATATGGAAGACTGGAAGGGATCTCGAGAGGTCGTCGAGTCCAGTCCCTTGCACTCCTGACAGGACTAAGTATTATCTAGACCATCCCTGACAAGTGTTTGTCTAAACTGCTCTTAAAAATCTCCAATGATGGAGATTTCACAGCCTCCCTGGGCAATTTATTCCAGTATTTAACCACCCTAATGGTTAGGAAGTTTTTCCTAATGTCCAACCTAAACTGACTTCGCTGCAATTTAAGTCCATTGCTTCTTGTCCTATCCTCAGAAGTTAATGAGAATAATTTTTCTCCCTCCTTCTTGTAACAACCTTTTATGTATCTGAAAACTGTTATCATGTCCAGGGGCAGATTAGGGTTTTGTGGGGCCCCTGGGCCAGAGCAAGTGGAGGCCCCTCCCCACCCCTTCTGCCTGCAGTCCTCCCGGTCCGTCCCCTGGCATTCCTGCTGGGGAGTGGGGTTAGGGTATGGGGGCTTGCCCCGCTCTGCCCACCCGGTGCTCATGCTGGGGAGCCCCCAGGCTCCAACCCTGCTCCCTGGTTGGCGCACTGGGAGGACAAGCAGAGCAGGGCAAGACCCTGTGCCCTGACCCCGCTCCCCGGCATGAGTACCAGGCGGGCGGAGTGCAGAGGATGCCCATTTTTCTGGGGCCCCCCAGTGGCTAATCCGCCACTGATCATGTCCCCTCTTAGTCTTCTCTTCTCCAGACTAAACAAACCCAATTTTTTCAATCTTCCCTCATAGGTCTGGACTTCCAATTTGTCCACATCTTTCCTGAAATGTGGCACCCAGATCTGGGCACAATACTCCAGTTGAGGCCTAATTAGTATGGAGTAGAGTGGAAAAATTTCTTCTTGTGTCTTGCTTAAAACACTCCTGTTAATACATCCCAGAATGATGTTTCTATTTTAGCCACAGTGTTATACTCTTGACTCATATTTAGCTTGTGATCCACTATGACCTCCAGATCCCTTTCCGCAATATTCCTTCGTAGGCAGTCATTTCCCATTTCGTATATGTGTAACTGATTGTTCCTTCCTAAGTGGAGTACTTTGCATTTGTCCTTATTGAATTTCATACTATTTTCTTCAGACCATTTCTCCAGTTTGTGCAGATCATTTTGAATTTTAATCCTATCCTCCCAAGTACTTGCAACCCTTTCCAGCTTGGTATCGTCCACAAACTTCGTAAATGTACTCTCTATGCCATTATCTAAATCACTGATGAAGATAGTGAACAGAACTAGACCCAGAACTAATCCCTGCAGGACCCCACTTGATATGCCCTTCCAGCTTGACTGTGAACCACTGATAACTACTCTCTGGGAATGATTTTCCAACCAGTTTTGCACCCACCTTATAGTAGCTCCATCTAGGTTGTATTTCACTAGTTTGTTTATGAGAAAGTCATGCGAGACAGTACCAAAAGTTTTACTACCATCAAGATATACCACATCTACTGCTTCCCCCCATCCACAAGGCTTGTTACTCTGTCAAAGAAAGCTATTAGGCTGGTTTGACACGATTTGTTCTTGACAAATCCATGCTGACTGTTACTTATCACCTTATTATCTTCTAGGTATTTGCAAACTGATTGCTTAATTATTTGCTCCATTATCTTTCCGGGTACTGAAATTAAACTGACTGGTCTGTAATTCCCCGGGTTGTCCTTATTTCCCCTTTTATGGATGGGTACTATATTTGCCCTTTTCCAGTCCTCTTGAATCTCTCCCATCTACCATGACTTTTCGAAGCCTTATGAAATAGTCTTTAATTACATGATCACATTCAATTTTGACCACATGACTCATGCCTCATTCAGTGCATGGGTAGCTATTCGATATATCTTGCACATTCAATGTGGGGCCCCAGTCCTTATTAAACACCCACCGTCCAAACGTTGCATTCAATACAAAATGATTAATTTCCTCACATGTGTTTCTATGATGCTCTCACCAGAGTATCTGAGTGCTTCACAACATAAGTGAATATATTGACTTGAGTGTTTGACTTTTCAACCCTACATTCCTTTAACAGTTTTTGTAATGTAATTATTTATGTATATAAGAATTTATTTTATAGCAGTTTTAACTCCTAGGTATTATTTTTCCAAGTAAAAAAATCAAACAAAAACAAATACAGCCTGAGATTTTACTTTTAAAAGCAATTTCAAAATTGTTTAAAAGGATTTATAGCGTGGGGAAAACTGTCAATACCCACCTTTGAAGTTAATTCATATGGCTGTGGCATGTGAATGGTTTTGACACTGATTGTCAAAAGCCATGCTCTGGTTGACCAGCTGGGCCTTTGTGATGATGTTACACCTGATGGGCACCAAATTCCACTTGTGCATGGCCCAGGAACTCAAAATACACTAAAAGAAATTCCCTGTACCTATTATTATAGGCTGGCTTGTGTCATCCTGATGCTGAGTAGTGCCGTTACTTGGTGAGTAGTCCCACTGAAATCAATGGGATTATTTATAACATAAATATGGGTGGGACACTTTCTAACATGAGTATGGATGGCGCAATCTGGCTCTGATTATATTCAGCAGTTTCGCTCTGATGAACTGCCAGTGCAGAGGAGCTTTGGTTTTCTGGAGAAAAGTTTTTTTGTGTCGGATCCCTTGTGGAACTCAGGGTTTTCTCCTAATTCCACTATGCCATTTACCAGAGGAAATGACTAGGTTTATACAGCTGCTAGTGTTGTATAGAGACAGAGTTGCATTTGGCATCTAAATCACAGTACTGGGACTGGGCCTCATGGGACTCTGTGTGAGAACAGGAGGACCAATGCAAGAAAATGTGGGGTTGTTTCTGTATCACTTCAGCTAGCAGGGCTCCCTCCCCAGACCAGTAGCATGAGGTATTCTGGCCTGTTCTGGAATGTAGGGCCAAATTCTTGGGGGAGGTGCATTTCGCTCCCTCTATAACTCAGTTCCTAGATCAAAGCAAATTCCAACATATGTTTAGTTATTGTTTTTTCTGTAAATGGCAGCCTACATCAGAACTGAGCAGGGCATGTGGCCCATGTCTATGAGAAAGCTCTGAGTCCAGTTTCTTTTTTATGGTCTTTTTAAATCAGTGTAAATCATTTTGAGATTTTTTTTATACTTTATAGTGTATTTTAATGATAAAGCTGTAAATGTTTTTGTTCTTGTTTGATGCAGAGAAATTGAGAACAAACAGAAGGTAGAAGGGACATACAGCAGGCAGAAGCTTGCCCATGGACTTTCAATTGCCACTTAGTGCCCACAAATGCTTACAGTCAATGTAAGCAGAACAAACTCTATTCCAATAGGTTCCACAATATACAAGTTACACAGATAGCAAAACACGTTGCCTAGGTATCTTTGGCTAAATAGTACTTTAAAGGGAAAAAAACAAAAGCACCCTAGAGGGAAAATCCATGCTAACCATGGGATAATGTAGACTCATCATGTAGCTCGGGAGGTCATTCCCCAGTGCCAGGAATGGGGACCTGCTATTACAATGGCTAGCAACTGTGTAGAAAGCCATGGAGGGTGCCGTGGAACAGACAGGGAGATCTCCCAGCAAGAAGCCCAGCTGACTTTTACTGAGCCCTCCCAAGGTTGCGCTATCCAGAGAGGTGGCTTGGCCACGTCAGGGCCCATCGCAGTTGCGGGCTGCTTGCCTAGAGCTCTGCAAATCCGCGGGTGTCCGCTTTATATCTGTGCACCATTTCTGCAGATAGCTGTGCAGATGGCAGACACAAATTTTGTATCCACGCAGGGCTCTGATGGTAAGAGCCGGGTGGGCAGCTGTGAGGAACCGAGGCACGGCTCTTCCACCTGCCCTGGGCGTGGGGCTTGAGGGGCAGGGACACTGGGTGGGGGGCTGCTTGCGCCCCATGCCCAGAGCAGATGAAGGGTCCGCTGTGGCTCCCTACTGCTGCCCGCCCAGCTTTTACCGGAGCCGGGTGGGGGAGAGCCGTGCTGTCAGCTGTGGGGAGCCTGCGTCCCTCCTCCTGCCCTCCGCAGAGGGGCTGGGGGGCAGGGACACTGGGCAGAGGGGACTGAGGGGCAGGGACACTGGGCGGGGGCACTGGAGGACAGGAGCACTGGGCAGGGGGACTCAGGGGCAGGGACGCTGGGCTGGGGGGCAGGGACATTTGGTAGGAGGGTTGGGGGGCAGGGACATGGGCCAGGGCTGCTCGGGCTCCCTGCCCAGGCAGGCAGAAGGTCTGCCACGGATCCCCAAAGCTGCCAGGCAGCTCTCCCGGACCGGGCTCTGATGGGGGCCTAGGATGACCAAACAGCAAATGTGAAAAATCAGGACAGGGGATGGGGGGTAACAGGTACTGTGCCTATATAAGAAAAAGACCCCAAAATCGGGACTGTCCCTATAAAACCAGGACAGCTGGTCACCCCAGCCCCGCTCCCATGGTGGAGCCCTGCCTGTAACTCCGCGGATATCAGCAGCGATCCGCAGGTAATTTTTGCGGCTCGCGGATGGGATGCGGAGACACCTGTGTCTCCGCGCGGGGCTCTCTGCCTGCCCACAGTGCACAGCCCTCAGCGACAAGAGCCCGCCAACAAGCGCCCCGACGGCGGCGGTGCAAGCAGCGGGCTCCCGCGGGGGGCTGCGGGCCCGGCCCGGGCGCTGCCTGCTAGGGCGTCTCCCGGCCCGTCGCTTATTTAACTCCGGGGGCGGGGCGGGGCGGCGCTTACACAACAGCCGGGCGGCGGCGGCGGCGGCGGGAGCGGCGCCATGTCCTGGTACCGGAACACCGTGTGGTTCCTGAAGGGGCTGCGGGAGTACACCAGGTACCGGGCGCCGGGGGGTCCGGGCAGCCGGCCCCTGAGCTCTGGCTGGGGCTGCCCGAGCAGGGGGCTCCCGCGGCGAGCGGCCGCGCGCACAGCCCGCGCCTACCCCCGAGCCTGCAGGCGGGCGCAGCGGGGCGTTGAGGTCGGGGCTGTCACCAGCCCCCGCCCGCGGGCTTTCCAGCCTGAGGTCGCCGCAGTCCGGGGCGGGGGGCGAGGCCCCGTTGAGCGCCCTGGCGATTGGCTGGGTGCAAGCCGGTTGCCTCTGCAGCTTTGGTAGGAAAAAGTTGCCCCCACGAGTCTCCTCTCCCTTGCTGTGCCCTGAGCCTTCGGGTGAGATTGGCTGCTTGCTTCAAGGGGGCGCCTCCTCATGCAAGCCCGGCAACAGTGGGGAGCTGGGTTACTCCTCTGTCAGAGGCACCGAGAAAGCAAGGTCGGCTTGGGTTGTATCTGGCTGTCTGCAGCGCAGATCTGGAGTTTAGTGTGCGGGTTTAGCTGCTGAAACCATCCAGAGTGTGACCCAGGCACTTCAGAGCATAGACCAGGTCCACAGCTGTAAGGTCTTTAGTTTGGCATGCTGGGTGTAAGTCGCAGCATCGTGGATCATCACATTGTCTACAAAAACCTTCAGAACTTCACAGATCAACCCAGAAATGTGCTGCCCCTCTCCACCCCACATCAAGCCAAGTGACAAATAGCCAGCTTTGTAATACCTTGGGGATGTTATCACAAAGCACTTTCCAGTGGCACTTAGCACCTCCTTCCCTTAGTCCTTTACTGCACCCAGATATAATGAATTTATTGGCAGGCTGCGGAGCAGATCTTGCATAGGGACTGCCACTCTGGCTCAGACTGAGGGATATCTGCTGCAGGATCCTGTCTCTGAAAGTGGCTAGTATCAGCTGCTTCAGAGGAAGGTGTAAGAACCTTGCAGTAAGCCGATATGGGATAATCTGCCCCTGACGTAGGTCTCTGCCTGATCTCTCTAATAAGAGATTGTCTTAACCCCTTAAATGTGAAGTTTAATATCCTATCTAACATGTTGGTTGCCATTAATTCTGGCTATCCATCTAAATGTTCAATCCTTGCCAAATCTTGCTGAGTTCTTGGCCTCAGTGCCTTTCCATGGCAACCAGTTCAATAACATTGTGTGTGAAAAAACATTTCCTTTTATTGGTTTTGAATTTCCTACCTTATAATTTCATTGAATGCCCCCTGTGTGGGGTCAGGAAGGCATTTCCCCCCAGGTCAGATTGGCAGTGACCTGAAGGGGTTTTCACCCTCTTCTGCAGAGTGTGGAAACAGGTGACTTGCCAGGGTTATCTGGATATACACCTCTACCCCGATATAACACGAATTCGGATATAACATGGTAAAGCAGCGCTCGGGGGGGTGGGGCTGTGCGCTTCGGCAGATCAAAACAGGTTTGATATAAAGCAAAGCAAGTTTCACCTATAACACGGTAAGATTTTTTGACTCCCGAGGACAGCGTTATATCGGGGTAGAGGTGTATCTCATTTGATCATTTCCCTGCCATTGCAGGGACCTTGAGCGCTGGTGCACCTCGGTCCCTCCTGTTCTCTGCCTGTGTCACTTAGTAATCTAATCCCCCGTGGGTCTCATTTACTTCAGTCTCACTTCGGTGGTTGGGTTTAGAGTGTGGGTGCTAGGTGGTGTTGGGGGCCTGTGAGATACAGGCGGTCAGACTGGATGATCTAGTGGTCCTTTCTGACCTTAAATTCTGATTCTTGTCTTATTTCTTTAAAGTAAGCGTGTGTGTGTGTGTGTGTGTGTGTGTACAAACAGACATTGTAAAACAGATTTCCTATCTGTGTATATTCTTATTCACATATTCTTGCTGATCAGTGCCTTTTAATGTTGCATCAAAGACTCCTAGAGCAATAGATGGGGACTTGTTATATTTATTAGAAAGCTAAAGAAAATAAATAAGTAGTTAAATTGAGTCCTGGTAGTGGATCCCCTTTTTCTTTCTTCCACTGAAGACTTTGTATTTTTGTGATTTATTCAGGAGTGGCTATGACTCTGCATCCAAACGCTTTGTTCCGGCAGATTTGGAGGTAAATGTAACTGGAAGATCCTTCATGATTACTGGAGCAAACAGTGGTATTGGCAAAGCAACTGCAACGGAGATAGCAAAGAGAGGTGAGATAAACAGTGGTTCTCAACCAGAGGAACGTATACCCCCAGGCGTATGCAGCAGTCTTCTAGGGAGTAGTCAACTCATCTAGATTAGGGTTTCTCAACCTCGGGATTATGAACCACAGGGGAGTCACTGGACAGGTTTGGGGGGTCACAAGTGCATGGCTGGAATTATGGGGAGGCAAGCAGGGAAATTGCCTGGGACCCTATGCCACAGGGCAACCTGCAAATTCAAAATACATGCTTCAGCCCTGGATGGTGGGGGCTAAGGCTTCAGACTCTGAAAGAGGTACAGTAGTCGGGAAAGGTTGAGAACCACTGAGCTAAACCAATGTTAACCTTTTGGGGATTTCACAAAGTGTGATAGAAGTTTAACTGGAAAAGTGTTCATCCTTCTGAATATAGGATTCTGCTTTTCAAGACGTTCTAGCTCCCATTTTCAGGGGTAGGATGTTTCATATGAAAAATAACTGTCTTCGGAGGGGCATATTTGGGGTTTGAGCACCTTGTATGGTTCTTTGGCAGATCCTACCATGAGAACTGGTCATGAAACAAAAGTAACAAGTGGAGGGGAGCCACGAAATATTACGGGGTGGTAGCTAAAGGTCTCCATCATGGATCAAGACAGTGTTGTCCTAGGCGCACCGTACAGACAGGGTAAAGTAAGACAGTCTGTCTTAAAGAATTTATAGTCTTAAGGTGTGAGGAGACAACAGATAGATAAGACCAACAAAAGGAGGGGAGGACAAGGTAACAGTGAGACAATTGCGTTTGGTACAATAGTCAGCAGTGTCTGCACACCAACTACCTTACTTGATTGCATGCAAAAAAATTTCAACTGCTATTCTTATATTAGCTATCTGGAGTGCAGCATAACAGGCTGCCCCAGGCAAGTCCAAATTGATGTGGTCACAGTGCCAGTATTTCAACACAGGTAGAAAATGGACTTCACAATTGAAAGACAAGATGGGTGAGGTAATATCTCTTACTGAACCAACTTCTGTTGGTGAAAGAGTCAAGCTTTCAAGCTACAAGAGCTCTATGTAACTCGAAAACTTCTCTCTCACCCACAGAATTTGGTCCAATAAAAGATATTACGTCACCCATCTTGTCTCTCTAATATACTGGGACCAACATGGCTACAACAACACTGGAAACAATTCACAATTTGATACAGTCATATCCCACCCCATCCCTTTTTAAGTTCGTATGATTCCAGAGATATTGCTCTGGGAACGTATGGAAACTTGTATTTAAAAACATCAAATACCATTTTGTTAGTCTTACCTTTCCCCACACCCCTCCACTTCACACCTAATTGTTAACTGTGATTCTTATGGAATTCCACCAGGTGGCACACTTCATCTGGTTTGCCGAAATAAAGAGAGAGCTGAAGAAGCTAAAAGAGAAATAACAACAGAAACTGGTAATCAGGTGAGTTTAGTATTGAGGTTTTTGTTAAGCGCTTTACCAGCAGTAAGACTTATAAAATCTTCTAAGTAGTTCTCTGCATCATCCCACCCACTTTCATTGTTCGCTGTTTTAGATTGCATATTAGAGGCACCCTCAGAAATCAGCAAAATATTTATCATTTTTTCTAGATGGTTTGTTTTGATGAGTTTAATTTCCGGGGGTGGGGGTTTTGGTTGGTTTCCTGGTTTGGGGGATGGGGGGGGGGGGGGGGGGGGGGGGGGCGAGGCTGGTACACAGGATATTATTCAGGCCAGTGATATTCTTGTACTTTCTCTATTTTTAATATG